AATAGTGTTGGTGGTGGGGAGGGGTGGAGGCTCCATGCTCCTGCAGGGCCTTCTGGGATACCTGTGCAATGATGGAGAAGTGAGGACAGATAATTTTGGATCACAACATGGCCAACTGTTTGCCAGGGATTTTACAGTTACAAGATTACAAGTCATATTGTGAAGAATTATGCTGTGCCTTTGTTCTATGTCTCTGACTGGAAGGAGAAAGTAAGGTATTTGTGTTAATGAAAAGTACAGAGGGTTCCAGAAAAACAGAAGCTTCAGAATGACTGATGTTATGAAAACTGTAGCTTTTTAAGAAAGCTTTGTGCTGATAAATGCATTTTTCCATCTTTATGCCTCCTCCCCTATGTTATGCTTATGTCAAATCATGAAGTTATCTGTGAATAAGCACTATAAATACAAACAATGTAACAGGAGGAGTCAGAAGGCTGGAAGTACAAGAATTGTGCTGTCAGATTTCTCGCCAGGAAATCACATTTAATAAAGTCTCCAACAGATCGTCCCCCTAAACAGAAATAACATTTATTTTCTTCAACCCAAAATGTAAGTTTTTTCAAAATAGAAAAAAATGGAATGTGATGGGGCCCAGCAACAGAGTTACCCATGGATCTGCTTTTCAACAACAGGGCTAATCAGGTAAATGATGAGAAGGATGAAAGCTGGAGCAAGGATCTCCCCTTCCCAGCTGACACCAGGCTGATTTTTCAGTTTGTGCCAGACTGGAGAATGCTCTATTAGGTATATTTTCAATACTCCGATCAGGTTCCAAACTTAGTTTGTGTATATTTTGCAAATAAAGTAAGATGGTCTTATTTAAACAGGCGTTTGATGTCCAGTGGTAAGAGAATTATTAGCATATTATTATTCTCGTGCTCATCAGAGGAATTAGCTACAAGTTCAATTAAATAAATCAATTTAGTACAAATTTCAGTTGGACTAAATAAACAAATAGAAGTGCTTCTGAGACGATGAAACATCCTAGTACCAAATTAATGGGTGTAACTATTTTCTTTCCAAGGTTATGAGAGTGTTGTTAGTTGATAATGCAGAGCTGTGACAAATAATGCCTTTATACTAGATAGTGTTTCACCCACTGGAGAGAGAAGTGCTTGACAGTCTTTTAAAGTTGGCTGAGAGATTACATGCAGTTAATAATTAAGGAGTTATATAAAACTCCTCCCCAAATCCATTTAATGTTCCTGTAATCCATCTTCCCCTGTGAACCTCAATCAAATCAGTTCTTCTCCAGTTGGCTGAAACTGTTGGAGCAAGTTCAAAACATATTAAAATGTTGGTTGGATGGATTATATTATAAAATCTGGAAGCATTTAGGAGTTGCTTGTTCATCCCTTAGGATCTGCATCCCACAACATAAAGTCCAGGTTGGATAAGGAAAGCTTGTGCTGAGCTTAGAGAAGAATCTATTAAATGGCAATGATAGCCAGTGACCAGGGTCAGATGTTACATCACAGAGTATCACTTTCATATGCAAATGCTTTGCGAAGATTGTCATGTCATGCAAACCTGGTGAATGTGTGATATGCAAGGATTAACAACCCTCACATTTACATGGTTTAACAACTTTATTTATTTTAACGCAGACAAAATGGGGTGTTATTTCTGAAAGTGAAGGAAACAGTATCATCCTACTTGTGTATTTTTAAGTCTTTGACACCACAGTGCCACCTAGAGGTTATAGAGTGGGAATTCAGGTAAGGAAAATCTCTTTGCGCAGAGCTTAGAACTTAATTCTGCAATGAAACCAGAAGTAGAGACAGTAATTCTTACAAGAGGACCAGCACAGTAGAATCAACAGGATAGCAGAAAGAATGGAGTGAGAAGACTCCCAAGTAAAGGAGACCTGCAACAATTGAGATCAACATGGAATAATAGAATACTAGAGATAGAAGGATCCAGAGGGACATCAGGTCTAATCCCCTGTTCAGTGCCTCTCAAACCACCCCCTTTAGATGGTTGTCCAAATGTATCTTCAATGCCTAAAGAGTGGGAGAGTCCAGAACCTCTCCAAATGATCCCAGGATCCAAATCTCTGCCACAGCTCCACCTTTGTAGCCAGGAATTCACTTGAAGTATTTTTGTCTATTCCTCTTCCAAGAAATGGAAAGATTGAAGAGAAAACTATCTGGGACCCAAAATTCTTGACTTTTGTCCTCAAAGCTTCAAAGCTTGATGTGATTTCTTCAAAGCTCTGTTTGGCAGTGGTATTTGTTCCTATATGTATAAGGAGGAAGGGAACCCAAACCCTAGCCACAGACACTGCATAAATAGTATCATTCAGCGTGCAGCAAGGCAGAAGTGCTCAAATCCAACTTTGGCTCAGCTTTCTCTGTGCTTTTCCCAGTTCTGTACTGTCATTTTTTAAGAACAGCATGTAGTATTTTATGTGCAATTGCAAATGTGAGTAGTATCTGTGAGGAATTCCTCCCATGGAAGCATGGTACATTCTTTGTTGGAAATAAAGTAGTTCTGAACTAAGTTTTTTCAGGGGGATTTTCTTTTGGCGGGGGGTGGGGATAGTGATCTGGAAATAAAGGCAGGGAGAAATTCTTAAACTTGTGAGGGATGGGGGACTTACCAAGAAAGCTGTACTGGCATTGCCTTAGCTGACTAAAAATGTCTTTCTTAAAGTCAGTTGCTCCACTGCTGAAAGTGATGGCAGAGCTACAAAGTTGGAAGTTTTTTTCCCCCTGAGGTGTGAAATGGAAAGATACCTACATCAAATATTGCATGACTCAGTAGCATCAGCAGCCATTTCGCTGGTAGATGCAGTTCTGGCAAGAGAACTGGAACAGAGGCAATTCTCTGCTACCCCACAGCCCCCCATGAACCCTTAAAATCTGCTCTAGGGCTGGGAAACACTCCTGAATTTGTTTTGAGGGTAGCATAGAAGACTGTAAGTGGAAAGAAAAAAAGAAGAAAGCCTATCATTAAAAGGTGACTGTGAGTATGGTGTTAGATCCAATTTTCTAAATTTAAGGAATAATAGGCCAGTGCTGCTTCCTTGTTAAGCCTCCAATCCTGGGAAAGTTGAGAACTTTTCCCACCTCGAGAAATTTACCAAAATGCCTGCAATGCTTTTGCTCCTGAAAATGAAAGTATAGTGAGGCTTTATGCAATTCAGTTTTATAACAGACAAAAAAAAAAAAAAAAATTGGCTTCTGCTTTTACCTGCTGAATCACTGGTATTCATATTTACCAGAAAATCCCTTGCTTTTTTTTTTTTTTTTGGGGGGGGGGAGAGATAAAGCTTCTTCCATTAAAACAATTTTATAAAGGCCTAATAAAAGATTATACACATATAATCTTTTATTATATACACATTTATCCTACTTTGTAGATGACTTGGTCTGTTCTTCTCATACTAGTAAGATATTATCTGACTTGGTTTTCTGGTTAGACAGCAGTTCATAGCCATGTAAGTATAAAGTGCTATTTTCTGTATTCCATGGTTAAGCAAGATAAGACAGACCTTGGGTGAATGAGTTAAGGAAAAGACAGTTCCTATCAGGAGGAGGAACTTTTTGTGGATCTTCCACCTTTGCTTAGTTCCCCATTCATCCTAAACATATGACATATCAGATGACTGTCTTGAAGGAATCAAAGAACTTTGGAAGAGGCAGCATAGCTGAGATGTGCAATAGTAACTGTATGGGGTGGCTTACTCTAATAACTGTTCATTGACATATATTCTCTCTCTCTCTCTCTCTCTCTCTCTCTCTCTCTCTCTCTCTCTCTCTCACACACACACACACACACACACACACACACACACACACACAGAGAGCAACTCCCTTTTCCTGAGAGATTACTGTTCTCAGCATTCCAGAAGTGTATCTTTGTTTATCACTTGATGACTTCTCACATGATGACTTGCTTCCTAGCACAGATCTAACCACTCTGAAAAAACTTCCATAATCACCTCAATGTTGATTATGTTTGTTTCCACTCTAACCTGTGCATACTGTCATGTATTGGCAGAATGTATGCTTGTAAAGAGACTATATTCTAGTATTCATAATACTATAAATGCCAGTGAGCAACATTGTTTCAGTGTGAGACCAAAGGGGTTGCAGAGCACATAGTCTGACCCAGAATTCAGAGAATTTTGCATTCTGCACATGTGCCGTTGTTGTTGTTGTTGTTGTTGTTGTTGTTGTTGTTGTTGTGTTTTAGTGTTAATGTCACATGCTCCATGAAAATATCTTTAATTCCTTTAAACTACATGGCCAAGCAGCCTTTTGTTCAGTAAGAAGCTTCTAAGTTTGAATCAATTTCCTTGATTTGTTTCTTATAACATTGCACATCATTCATGTCTTTCATCTAGAAATATTCCTCTCTTGTTCCCAAGTGTGCATGCTTTGTTGTGTGAACTTGAATTCCCAATCAGTTCTCATCTCCAGCAAGGCTGCTACTGTGGAGTAGGTTAAGGGTAAGTGAGAGCAAACTGCAGTTGCTCAAGAACAATGAAATGGCAAATTGGGTGCATGCCACTTTCAGTACCCATGTTCCAACAGTATAAACTGCAGAAGTCATGTGTTTTTCTGGATACTTACTTTATAAATTCTGCATCAAGTCCAAACTGAAGTAATGAAAATTTTTCTATCACTACTTTGAATTGCTTGGAAGGGTTCTGCAAACTTAGATATTATTGCAGTTTTGAATTTATTATTATTATTATTATTATTATTATTATTATTATTATTATTATTATAACATTTCTACGCTGCCCCTTGCTGAAACCTCGGGGCGGCTTACAACACAATAAAATACATTGAAATACAATAGAACATAATAAATTACCATTAAATACAAAAATACAAAAAATACATTGAGTTACAAATATAAAATTAAAATTATCAGTATAAAATAAGTAAATAAAAATATAGGAGGAGAAAGAGAAGGAAGAAGAAGTTGCCCTGGCCAGATCATATGTTTTAACAATTAAAATGATGTTTAAATAAAAAGGTCTTTACCTGGCGCCGAAAAACCAGTAACGACGGTGCCAGGCGGACCTCTTTGGGGAGTGAATTCCATAGGTAGATTCTTCCATAGAACCTGCAATTTACTAGAGGATGTGACAGCAAATATGAATACCAGGTGGTTTCTTGAAAGAAAGAACGCATGCACGCACTCACGCACGCACGCGCGCGCGCACACACACACACACACACACAGAATTATCTCCTTCCTCAATATCAATAAGAACCTTCCCACATGACTCGGTTATATAACTGTGCCATCTTCCACAGTAGTTAATGCATTAGGGGAAATTATTTTCCTGGCACTTGACCCAGGAGAAGCTTGATTATTATATTTTTCACCAGAGACTCAAGTGAAATGCAGTCTTACTAGAAAGCAGCAAGAAGAATTAGAGTGTTTATTCTGCTCAGCAGTATGAACATGTTCAATATTTTTACTCAGCAGTTCAGCAAAAAGACTTCAAAAATCATTTACAAAAATCATTTCTAAATAGGTCCCTGCACTCAGCCTTCAGATAGAGAAGACACAACAGGAAAAAGAGAGAGATTTGGAATAGAGAGCAGCCTCAGGCACTACTTTGGAAATTATGAAATCCCCATGGTGGAAATCATAACTGTGACTGTTCAAGAAATGAGGACCCAAAGAAATCAGGCCTCTCAGCTAAGCCAGTGAAGTGAACCTGCCTCCTATCTCTTCCTCTGCTATAGGCTAAAGGAATTAGTAAGGCTGAGTGCTATCCCAGTCAATCTGATTGCAGGTTCTATGGAAGAATCTAGTCCTTAAGTGGGTGCCTGGGCCTCAGGTAAGCCAGTGTGGTATAGTGGTTAAGAGCATGGGACTGGGACTCAGGCGATCTGGGTTCTAGTCCCTGCTCAGCCATGGAGCCAACTGGGTGGCTTTGGGCCAGTCACAGACTCTCAGCCCAACCTACCTCACAGGGTTGTTGTTGTGGGGATAAGATGAAGGAGGAGAATGATGTAAGCTGCCTTGAGCCCTTTGTAGGAGAAAGGCAGGATATAAACCAGAAAAATAAAATAAATATTAGTATATATGAGGAAGGCCTATTTCTGAACCAATTAGCTAATTAAGATAAGCTAAAATAACCTAAGCTAAACTAAGGTAGGCTAAACTAAGCCAACCCCCTTTTGGATGCATAGCTTAACATGGTGAGGGGGTTGAAATGTCAAAAACACTGAGGGCAAAGCTGTCCAGAGGCCAGACTTTCTCACCATGCTGTTCTATTCACAGGGTCACCCAAGTCACAATGGTCACAGCTATAAAACCAGATTAAGATACATCTGCCTTCTTCAAGAGCAGTGGTCACATCAGCAGGAGAGAATAGGTATCTTTAATGATGAATGGAGCAGAGAAACTCCTGCAGGGCAGCTACTGGGCAGCAATGGTAGTTGAAGACCACTGTTAGAGGATCTTTCACAGGCAATGGCAGTGATGCTCAAGCTAACTCTGGTTAGTGCTGCAGAGAAGGTGGCAATGGTAGACTGCTTCTGAATCTTCTTGGTTTGAAAACCACTTGATGAATCAAACCAAAGTGAAATAAGAGATGAGACATGCCCCTAGCGGGGAAGGCACTGAACAAGCTGCTGGGGAAAAGCAAAGAATTAGTATGAATAGTGCTGTCACTAATTATGCCACTAAGATAAAAGCTGTAGGGAAGTCTAGTGGCCAACATGCACAGAAGTGAAAGGAAGGTCCAATGCTGCACAGCATATACAATTGGGAGATGAAATATGAGTAGTATAAATCAAGACAGGCTGGGAAACAATAAAGCAGGAAATTGAATGGCTAATAGTAGCAGTACTTGGTGTGAGTGAACTAAAGTGGACTGGAATAGGACATTTTCAATCAGACAAACAGAAAGGATTTTACTCTAGAAATGGCCAACTCAGAAGAAATGAAGGCAAGATGTAGCACAAACAATAAGCAGCTTTAACACAAAATCTGACCTAATAATATCAATTAGAATTGGTGAAAAATTGTATCAGCATTACCATTATTTAAGTCTATGCTCCAACAACAGATGCTGAAGAAGAAAAAAATATCAGATGTTCAAGAGGAAATTGATACTACTCCAAAACAAGGCATGCTGATAATCCTAGGTGACTGGAACACAAAAGTGGGAAACAAATGTAGGAAAATTTGCCCTGGGTATAAGAAACAAAGCAGGAACATGACTCATAGAATCTTATGAAGGAAATAATCCCTTTGTTTATCACAAATACTTACTTCAAGCTACTGATAAGACAATTATACACATGGACAGTTGCAAAGGACAGGTGAGAAGCAAAAGGTGACAGAAATAAGCTCAGAATCCTGAATTCAACTTTTCAGTGACTATCACACAGAGACAAAATAAACAACTGGTCTACAAAATATAAGAAAGAATTGATTGTAAGTATGATAATGGCAGTTAGGCTAGTGATAGTTAAATATTGGAAACATAATTGGGTTTTGCAAAGGCATTAATGGTATAATGAAATATGGAACATGGTAATTAGTGATAAACTGATGACAGAAATAAAAATTAAAAGAGGGTTAATGAAAACAAATAAATATAATGAAATTTGGGAAGATTTTGTAAAAGCAGTACTGATAGAAGGCAAAGGCTGTAAACCCAGTCAAGATTATATGAACTTCTGGAGGGAATATGGAAATAATTGAAGTATATTATATATTATTAATTGTTATAGTATGTGAATGGTGGTAGCATTGGTCTCCGGGGTGGTGGGAACACTTTATTATTTACTATTTTATTATTGTGTTTTTGTTATGCTATATTATTATTGTTGTGATGTATTGTATTTATGCTTTTTTGTCAAAAAAATAAAAAGGGGAAATTAAAAAAAGAGAGAATAGCCTGACAAAAGAGGAAAAACAAGAAACATCTTCCAGAGGTCTCCAGGAAATCAAAGGGAAATTCAAGCCTAGAGTAGGAATGCTAAAAGACAAACAAGGAGACACACTATCTGACTAGGAAAAATCAAAGAGAAGGTGGAAAGAATATACAGAAGAACTGTGCGGAAGAGATTAAAGGATGGCAGGCTTCTACAAAGATGAATCCTGAGGAAGAGTCTGTAATATTAAAAAGCAAAGAGAAAGCTGTTCTGAAAGCACTTGGGAGGAATAAAGCAGCTGGAGTAGACAGGATACCAGCACTACTATTCCAACCTGCAGAAAATGAATCAGTCCAAGCCCTAAAAAGAATGTGCCATCAAGTATGGGAAAAAACAGTGGCTCATAGACGGGAAATCTTTACTATATATTCAAATCCCCAAGAAAGGAGATGCAAAAGAGTGCTGCAAGGACAAATGGCTTACATGTAACTGTTGTTCAAGTGGTCATCTGTGCATACCTACATATGGGTGATGCACCTGCGCTGTGTTTGAATTTGGGAAGATTCTCTCAGTTCAACAGTTTTCTGGCAGAAGTCCACCCCTCTCCCCTAGCGTAAATAAGTGGGGCTCTTGCCCATTGTCAGTCCAGCGGGAGACTGACAGTTTGCTGTCCAGTTCATATTGGATTATCCGTTAAGGTGAGGTAATCTGTTTTGATGCCACCAACACTGACATGGGGCCGGTGGGTGGATTGTGTGAATGCACAGAAGACCACTTGAAGAATGACAGTTACAGGTACGCAACTTGCTCTTCTTCTTTGTGGTCTCTGTGCATCACATATATGGATGACTAGCAAGCTTAATGTATGTGGAGTTAGGAAAGTGTTGTTACCATAGAACTGTGGAGAGAATGGCGTGTCTGAAGGAACAGTCTCATCTGACTTTAATGTCGATTGGTAGTGGTAGATGAATGAAGACAGTATTGACCACATAGCAGCTTTGCAGATTTCATCTATTGGTATGCCAGAATGCAAGGTCATCGAAGTGGAGACAGCTCTGGTGAAGTGTCCTTTCAAGTTGGATGTATGAAGAATCATAAAATCACAGAATAGTAGAGTTCGAAGGGGCCATGAAGGCCATTGGGCCCAACCCCCTGCTGTTGCAGGGTACCAAGTTACACCATCCCACTCAGATGTCTGTCCAGTTTATTTTGAATGTCTGTAGTGTGGGAAAGCCCAGCACCTCTCTGGCTATTGGAACACACCAAAGAATTTCATTAAAAAAGTCTGTTCTGTATAGACTATAGAAAGCCTTTGACTGTGTGGATCATGAGAAACTATGGGTGCTCCCGAAAGAAATTGGTATGCCTCAGCACTTGATTGTCCTGATGTGTAACTTGTATAAAGGTCAAGATGCCACTCTTAGAACAAAGTGTAGAGAGAGAGAATGGTTTCTCTTAGCAAAGGTGTCAGACAAGAATGCATTTTATCTCCCCAACTGTTCAATCTGTGCACAGAACATATCATCAGGAAAGCTAGATTAGAATCAGAGTAAGGAGTAAAAATCAGTGAAAAACACATCAATAATTTAAGATAAGCAGACGACAACATACTATTGGCAGAGGGCAGGACAGCAGTTGAATATCAAGAAAACAAAAACTGCAACTAGAGCTGAATTACAGAGCTGAATTACAGAGCTGTATCATTAGCAACGAAGACACTGAAACTGTGAGAGATTTTACATAATTTGGCTCTATCATCAATTCAAATGGAAATTGCAGCCCAGAAATTTGAAGAAGACTATGACCAGGAAGGACAGCAATGAAGGAACTAGAAAAGATCAAGTGTAGGAGCATTTCACTGAAGACCAAGGCCAAGATCACCCACACTATTGTTTTCCCAGTTACTTTGTATTGATGTGAAAGCTGGACAGTGAAGAAAGATGACTGGAAGAAAATTGATGCATTTGTAACTCAGTGAAAGCATAGTGGACTAATGGAAAGACAAACAAGTGGGTCCTAGATCCTTAGATGCAAAAATAACAAAACTGAGGCCGTTGTACTTTGGACACATCATGAGAAGGCAAAACTGACTGGAGAAGGCATTCATGCTAGGGAAAAGGTTGGGGTTGGGGTTTCTTACCTATTTCCAATATGAAACTTAAGTTTCAATATAGTTTACCAGCTACTAGAAGCCAGTATGGATTTATCAAGAACAAGGCTTGCCAAAATAATCTGATTTCGTTTTTTGATTGGATAACCTCCCTCATGAACTGTGGGAATGCTGTGGGCATAATCTCTCTTGACTTCAGCAAAGGTCTCATCTGATCATAACATTACTTAACAGTGGGCTAGATGGAACAACTATCAGGTGAATCCACAGTTGGCTACAGAACTGGACTCAAAGAGCACTCATCAATGGCACCTTCTCAATCACTTAATTTCTTTACAATCAATGACCAGCATAATCAAAGAAACAATATCAAAATTCCGATTCCTGTACATTTATATTTAAAATCTAAATGATGACACACATTGTTAAAAAAAAAGAGCAGGCATTAAAATTTATACTTACTACAAACAATACCCTGTCAGATTTTACAAATGGCTGCTACAAAAACTCGCGCTCTGGGCTGTGATCTGTGGATTAGTTCCCTTAGTAAAAATCTTGGCCACCTCTGCATCTGAGTGTCCAGTAAATTTTCTAATCAGGGAAAGGATAAATTTGCAACATACTTCCTGGTAAAGTGAGCAGTAAAACATGGTATGCTCTATTATTTCCATTTCTCCTGACCCTCAGGAGCAAACCCTTTCTGACATGGGTATCCTTCTATAGCAGCCTTCAACAGCAGGCTTGAAACATCTGGCTTTAAAGAAAGCCCTCCTATGCCTTGGGAGCTCCAGTAATGGCTATCTAATGGATATCTAGCAGCCTCTGACTTATGGCCACTTTTGTCTGGTCCAAACCCATTGCCAGAACAGCTTCAGAGAGAACCCCAAATTCCTCAGCTTCAGGCAGACCGCTTTAAGCCCGGGAGACTGAAAATTATTCCAGAGTATTAAAGATGTTAAACCCTATGCATTGTAATTTAGCTGGAGCCAAAACTTGAAAGAGGTAAGGGAAACCCTGGCCTTAACTTTTACCAGGCCAGAATCCAAGCACAAACACACATTGGAGACACAGCTGGACTGTTGAAATATAGATCTTAAGAACTGTGATTGGACATGTTCTAGAAGGGCAAAGCTATATGGGGTGGGGGTGGGGGTAGTTCTGTTCCATATAAAAGAAGATACATAGGTGAAAAGTTGTCACAAAGGGGAAGTACAGGATTTCTTCTCAATCATCCTAGAATGCAGGACGTGGAATATGGGCTACAGTTACACACAGCCAAATTCTGGCTAGATATCAGAATTATTTTTTTCTGGCTGTTAGAGCAGTACAGCAATGGACCAATTGTCTAGGGATGTCATAGGTTCTCCCACACTGGAGGCATTCAAGAGGTGGTTGATGAAAGTCGTAGTGAAGTCCTGCATTTAGTCTGTTCCTCAAAATCATGTAAGTTCTCCCATGACTACTATCACCACAACCTCTGCAGCAAGGAGGCTACTCACAGATGCTTCTTGTGCAATTTAGAACCAGACGGGAGCCAAATATGGAAACCAAGTTTCTTAAATTAACTGAAAGCTGGAGTAGTTTCAAATTATCAGGATTATGTAGTTTATGTAATTATTGTTTGTGTGCAAGACGGACCCCTGGTGGGAAATTTTCATTCCCTCCCCTCTCCCTGGGCATCCATGTGCATGTGTGGGTGTAAGAAAGAGTTGTGACAAGAGGTGCTTTGATGAAGCATTCCATTCTCAGCATGTCCTGGAACTGTCATTCTGATTCAGCATAATTCTCATGAATTAGTGTAATGTAAGCTAACCACTCAAATCACCTAATGAATTCCAAGTCCAACTGTGGGAAAATAATATGGTGAGGCCCTTTTTCTGCTTTTAGGTTTGTTTTGAATGTTTTTATTCAGAAAGTGTTGTGATTGTTAAATTTAAATCTGTGTGTGCTAACTAATACTGATTTTTAGCCTTTTGTACACTTCCTATAAACTGCTTTGTGCACATTTTTTCATGCAATCTGATGCAGATCTACTCCAAAGGAGATCAATGAGACTTATTCCCAAGTCCATGTGAACAGGATTGCAGCCTTCATTTTACTGCTGATTTTTACCTATTGCTAATTTTGTTTTACATATTTTATGGGAATAGATAGAAGTTTATCTTAAAAAACCTTTTACCCTTAAAGACGACCTTTGAATTTTTAAAATTTCTAAAGAGTGACTATAAATCATAAAACACAGTTTACATTGGACACACAGCCTGGTTCCCCATCTCCATCACAAACCTGCTCATAGTTCTGATCCTTTACATTAATCACTCCATGATGCAAAAGCCAGACTTCACAGCAGGAAGTAGCTTTCTATTGCTCTTCCACACTTCGTTGAACTTGTTTAAGTGATGTACAGAAACCAGAAAGATGAAACACAAAAATCACCAGATGAGTGATCCTATGGCCCCTGGACATTGTCTGAGAAGTCTTTGGATACTGAAGGATCTCTCATCTGAGGTCAGAGGTGTGGGGGGTGGGATAAGATGGAAGGAATCAGATACAAACTTATCCTGTTCAGAAACTGCCTGATAGTCAGGCCTTTTCTTCCACTGCTGCTGCTACCACCCTTCCCCCTTCCTCAAACATATACTGGCTAGGCAAGTTTGGGGAGTAGGCTGATAGGGAGTGTTACTGAGCTGATATTACAAACCTTAAAAGACCTCTTTAAAAAACAGGCCACATTTGTATGTGAATGTTCTACAAGATCAAACCATCTTGAACAGAAATGTGAGGGCTCTTCATGGTCCATCTTTAGACTCTACTGAAGTAAGTGGTGGCAGCCATGTCTGCACATCATGCTAAGCACCTTACAAAGAAACAATGGTGGGTTTTGCTATTCTTGCCAAGCAGCTCACTCACCATTTATCATGATAGGGTTTGTTTGTGGGGTTTGGATGACACAACAACCCAGTGTACATACTAAAATACAGGGTAATTGCTAAAACAAGCCATGGGTTGTCAATGTGGTTTGTTGTACTCAAAAAACTGAAAGAAGTGGTTCAGATTTACATGACACAGCCATTCACCATGGCTTGTCATGTACAATGGGTTGTTGTGTTGTGTGATCCCAGTCACTGTATGCACACTTCACTGGATCAGAATTCTTCAGCAGGGGCAGTAGCAGCAACTACACACAAGCCAAATAAAGCCTCAACCCCCCACCCCCGCAGGCCACTGAGAGAATTCTAGTGCTGGCAGGTGTAATTTTTCAAAATAAGGAATATGGCAACAATGAAGCTGTCAGAAAGTAAAATATTCAAACTGTGTAGCTACACAAGTTAAGAATTTATTGCTTGGTTTGTTACAATGGATGCTTAGCTGGAAGAACACTATTAACATACAAAAACAAAACAAAAATACCCAAGAAATGGTAAATTTCTTGCAGTTGGATAAAATGGTTCACTTCCATTATATTTGTGGTTTACATTTCCGAGAGAAACAGTCACACTGTCTGGCGTTCAAGACTTCCTGATGTACTATGGAGCCATTGACACAGCGGAGGGGCACTTTCATTGAATCGATAATGGTAGCAGAACAACAGGTACACTCATCCTCAATCTGGTTTGTGGTAATATTATAAACAGCTTTGCTTTCACATTTGCCCTGAAAGTGGAGGAGGGGAGGGGGAGAAACAGATGACACCTGTGACATTATTTACAGACTAAAATATCGATGCTGCTGTGTGAACTGTTCTCAAGCAAAGGTTAGATTAGCTTTTCGCAAACCATGGCTTAGAAAACTGGAATTCAGCTAACACCTTCACATACTTCTCCTCCTCCTGTTGTTGTTGTTTTTCTTCCCTGATTAGCTTTAACCATTTGTATTACATCATGCGCATCAGCCTTAACCATGGCTCTCCTGTATTCATCAAGTTCAGTGAGTAATCATGATTCACAAGGTGGGCAAACAACTGTATTTGCATGTGTTATTTGTGAGAAAGGCTGGTCCATGTAGTTTTCCCTTGTTACATGGTTGCTCTATAAATATATAATATAGGTAATTGGTATGTGATTACATAACAACACAAAGTAATATTTAAGGAGTGCATACTTCTGATACAACATAAAACAAAGAAGAGGAAGGAAAGCAACAGATCAAGCAACAATCTTCAGTACTCAGTCATAATGGCCTTGTCAATAATTTCTAGAAATGCTTTAGGGGTTGCCATGGAGAAAGCTAATGATTAAACAGGCCTTTTAATAGACTTTTAATTTTTTTAAATAATTGACTGAATGCCTTCCATGCTATGCTTATAGAAATCCCTAATAATTCTGCCCTTATAGAAGCAATTAAATATTTATCAACTTACTATTAAGATCTGATACACTGAACAGGGATATGTATAAAAACTGGCCATGAGGTATAAAGGCACAACCTGTATTTCAGTGATGAAGTGCATGCTTTGTATGCAGATAGTCCCAGGTGAAACCTTGGGATCTCTAGTTCAATGGGCTCTCTACAGGATCTAAGAAAGAGCCTTGCCTGAAATCCTTGGCATAGTTCTCAATACTACTTCTTCACCAAAATCAGAACTATGATGGACAGGCACAGGGTAGACTGGACCCAATGTGGGAGGGTTATTAACAAACTAGCTTGAAAAACTTCACTTGAAAAACTGTAAGTAAAGAACTGGCAGGAAAGAGAATGATTACTACTTTCCTTGATGGTTGTTTTTCCATTTTAGCTGCTGGCCCTCCCCACCCCATGGCATGTACATTCCTGAAGCTTCCTTTCCTGAAGCTTCCCTTCTGAAGCTTCCTTTCCTTAAATAAAGGGACCAATTGGGTTTTGTTGTAAGCATAATGTGTCACCTGCCCCTAAAGTTATGTGCTCACAGAACTTGCCTTCATGGCTTTTACATATTTTAAGAAACTGGGATTGGGAAGGGGGTGGCATGTGGAAAGCAAGACAGAGAGGACTGCTATTCCAAAAAGAAGGCAAAAGGCTCTCCTAAATGAGGCCTGCTCTGTGCAATTTGTTTCCAAGGCAAGCCACAATCCAGCATACACTGTCTTCAGATTATAGTCCTCTGAATATAGACTTGAGTTCATAAAATAACTTACCTCACAGTAGTGGATATTCAGCTGATTTTCATTCACACAATCATCTACTTTCACATATTCCAGCCTGCCTGTAACTTGTTTGCATTCTGGCTCTATGCCTAAGAGAGTAAGAAGGAAGGCACACACAATGAGCACATCTGTAGAAAGAGGCACTTTGTGCATTCTAACAGTGCAGATTGTCACTCTAAGCTATCTCTTGTTTTCTGTTACACATCTGTAGCAAAATTGTGGACCACAGGCAGCTCACAAACTTTGAGCTGAAGATTTTAGGCTCAGTTTCACATGCTATAGGTAGATGTATATGATGAATTAACATGCAGATTATCACATTACATTATCACATCATCAGCTTTTCTTAATGAGCTGGTAGAGTTGTTGTTAGCAGCACCAGTAGTTTCAGAATCCTCCAATAATCCCCTAACATACAGAAGCTTGACCCAACTAGTTGGTCAACTGGCCTTCAGAAGCATGATGTTGGGTCAGGAGGTGAGGGATGACAAGTGTTTACCACCACTAGAAAGAAGGTTTGTCAACTGAGAGCTCTGCCCAAAAAAAAAAAAAAAAAGAAAGAAAAAGAAAAAGATGCAGAATCCTAGGAATCCTGCTTTCCTTTCAGGTTCAGAATTTGGAACCAGATGCCTAGAGAGGTGGTGGGCTCTACTATGCTAGAGACATTCAAGGCAAAACTGGACAGTCATCTGAGTGGGGTGGTGTAAATTGGTGTCCAGGAAGTTGGACCCAATGGCTTTCATGGCCCCTTCCAACTCTACTATTCTATGATTCTATGATTGGAGGGAATTCTTCCCATCAGATAAAGATAGCTGCATGTCCTTTTCTGAAGTCTTGCTTTCAGATTTCTTTGAACCTTGATAGACTATCCACTTCCTTCAAAGGAGAACATCTGGGGTGCCTCAGACAACTTGATTCAATATCAGGGCAAGTAGAGGGCAAAACTGCCAACAATTGTTTTAAACAAGAGGAACTCAAAGAATAAATATGAGAGATTCCAGTACAGTGGGTAAATCAATCCATCTCTGATCCATATAATTTTTACATGTGTTCACACATGCCTGTTTTATCTGCATTTTTAAAATTGCCTTTAAATATGCATTTGCACACACATTTTCTCTCAAATAATTATTTCTAAAAAAACTTTCAAATATGTGTTATAAAATGTATTTTCTTTCAAAATATGGATTTTTAAAATATACATTGATTATTTGGCTCTGCAAAAGAAAGGAATTGTTACAGGCTTCAGGGGATATAAAATTCTTGTTTATAGTGGTGGTGTGGGTTCTTGCTTTAATTACAAATATCCTAACAAGTTGCTGATGGCATTTTTCTTTAAAGCCTTTTTCAGCTTTAAGCCGCACTGATACTAATTTACAGTTCATGAACCAACATGCAGTTATGCTTCACAATGTGCATTTTTCTTATTTTTTCAATTAAAAGCAGCACTTTTTTGTCATAGAACGCACCGGAATGGTGTTCCAGCACCTTTTTTTCAATGGATTTTACGAAGTGATTTTGAACGGAGTAGCAGATCAGCAGCAAACATCATTAACATAGTGCCTGCAAGCTGCTATTGTGTCTGCTATCTGATAGTGAGAGATCGCTGCTTGGGACGCTGCTCGGCTTGGGATTGGTGTATGTGCTTACTGCCGGTGGAAACGTGAGTTCTGGCACTTTTTTTTTTTTTTTTACAAAAAAAGCACTGATTAAAAGATATATAAAATGTGGGTATTTGGAAAATGTGTGCACAAAATAATGTAAATTGGTGAAAATAATGAATAATTTGCACAAAGTGTATATATTTGGTAAAACTTTGTACAAAATGTATACATTAGAAGAAATGCACATGAAATGCATGCACATGTGGACTTTTAAAAATGGCAAACTGTGAAAACAGGATGGAATGGGATGGATTTAAGGTCAGAAAAATGAGAAATTGAGAATAACTGAAATGGTCAGATTTAGTCATCCCTTGTCTAGGCTTTAACAAATATTTTGTTAGCTTGATTATATTCATTATAATGTCTCTGTAGTTTACATTAGTACACCCAAGTTTTCCATGCCTTTGTATGCTTTTTTAATGCCCCCAAACTGCATGCTCTTCTTGTGCAGGAGGGGTTCCACTATTTGTAGGGTTTCACATTTCATGCTGGGAGGAAAAGAAATTCTGGTTGTTGGTGTACAGATGCTAGCTCTGCTTTAACAAAGTCTCATCTGAGTGGAGAAACCAAGAGCTACAATAGTTGATACAAATGCTGCTGTAAAATAACTGTCATCAGACTGTCACTGTTATGCTCATCTTTTATTTGAGATGTCAGATCCAACAGGACTCTGCTTGATTAGCTGCTTTGAATGGACAAGACAGATCAAAACATATTTATACAGTGCTTATCAGATCTGAACATTTTTAAAGGCCTTAAATGAAAATAAAATAAAAATCAACCAATGGATCGATCCATTGCTTTCAGGATTCAATATTTAAATTAAAATATTTAAAGTAATAATTTCAGGATTAAATATTAAATAAATAAATAGTCCAAATTCACACACAAGAGATCAGCTCTGCCTATTGGATAAAACCTTTAGTACAGCCCTGCAGCCAGAGTGGGGCAAATGGCTGTGCCACTCCCACTCTAGAGCTCTGCTTCAACACCTGTAGGATTGGGGGTATATGGAAATAGTCTTTTAATCTGTGACATGACCAATAATGAAACCTTTATTAAAGAATGTCAGTTTGTTTTAAAAACAAGAGCTATTTAAACAATAGAACCCTCTGAAAAAGCCTCATCTGAAAGAGACCCCCAATGTCTACTCTGCCTGACTGAGAGTAGATTTCTCATATCACAATCACCCTTTAATTATTTAAGTGATCATGAAAAAAAACACATGCCTATTAGAACTTTGTATTATGGGCTAAAGTTAAGCTCCTCTCACTGAACTTTTCTTTTCAGTTTCACCTTCAGCTGTGATTACTACCCATACAGGCATGTTTGCTTGCCTGCTGTAAGAGGAATTTCTTTAGCCATTAGGGTTATGAATAGGGTTTTTTTTGTTTTGCTAATGGATGAACTAAAGCAATAATTAAAGTGATCTGAAAATATATCTCCCCAATGTTACCCTTTGCTCTTTTAAAGTACTCACTGTACTAACAATCATACTGGCATTTCCCCGCTTTTTTCCAGGAACTTGATAGTGAACATTGAAAACAGCCCTACAGGAACAGAAACACTGCTGTGCATGCTACCAATGGCTGGCTGGCTGGCTGGCTGGCTGGCAGCTGGGAAAAGCAGACCTGATTTCTGGTTTTCCTAATGTGTGCAGTTCAGCAATGAGAAATTTCCAGAGTTTCTGGGCAGAAAAATCAACCCAGCAACCTGTAAAAAAGCACAGTTCATTTCTAGTCACATAGTCCTTTGTTAACCAGGTAAACAGTTGTCCCTTGTCTGTTCCAACTAGAAAATACAAAGGTTAGGAAAAAGATTAGAAGGAGAAATCCTCGAGGAGGGGTTAACATATGTACCCTAACAAACTAGATTTGAGAAAACAAGCCTCACACAAATGTTTTTTCTTCTAAGTTACAATATAAACCATTTTGTTTGTTTTACACCTTTTGGAATCACCTGGTGCCTTAACATCCTTTTTTTCTTATAAAAGTTTTGATTAACTTGACTCTTACATATCCATTTTTCTAAATTAACACACTCGTTGCATGAAGGAGTGAAGGAGAAGCTCTTCTCCATTTGTGAGTGGAGGAGAGGAATTGCTCCATCTAGAAATGTGGCTGCCCTACCTAACAGGTCATTCCAGAAGGTTGCTTTGCTAAGAAAGGTTGCTAGATAAGAAATCAAGATGGGGTCACATTCGAGAATACGTAGAAATAGTAGGATGTGCTCCCAGTTCAACAGTGTCCCCAAGTGCATATTTTTATTTACTTTATTCAAGCAAATAACTACTGTACATGTATGTGTTAAAATGTAAAAGATGAGTTTTGTAAGAGACAAATTTTGTAAGAGACAAATTCTGCAAAAAATGGCCCCTCTAAGAAATTCCTAATATGTGTTACAGATGACTTCCTCCAAAAGAAAGAGAAGAAAGGAACAAGAGGAACAGATATCCTTGGCTTGGTACTAAGCAAAAGGGAAGATCTAGTGGACAAAGTGGCAGCTATGGGAACTCTGAGGGAAAGTGACCATGCCATATTTGAATTCTTAATTCTTCAAGAAAGGAGAGGAGAGGAGAGGGGAGGAGAGGAGAGGGGAGGAGGAGGAGGAGGGAGAGCAAACACCACAACCTGGGAACTGCAGACCAGTCAGTCTGACATTAATCCCTCAGAAAATTCTGGAGAAGACAGTCAGACTACAAACACCTTGAAAACAACGCAATTATTACTGCAATGCAAGTCAACATAGATTTGTCAAGAACAAGTTCTGTCAGACTAATCAGATTTTGCTTTTTGATAGGATTAACTCCCTGATGAACTGTAGAAATGCTATGGACATAGTATACCTTGATTTCAGCATAGCATTTGACAAAGTGTTTCATTACATTCTGTTCAGCAAGCTAGCTAAAAGAGGACTAGATGAGAGAACAATCAGGTGGATCCACAGTTGGCTACAGAATCACGCTCAAACAGGGCTCATTAATGGCATCTTCTAAAACTGGGGAGAGGTATAAAGTGGGGCACTGCAGGGTTCAGTTGTGGGCCCAGTGCTCTTCAATGTTTTTTTTAATGACTTGGATGCAGAAGTGCAGGGAACAATTATCCAATTTTCAGAAGACACAAAACTGGGGTGGGAGGGGGGGAGCTAATACCCTGGAAGACAGAAAGAAGATTCAAGGTGACCTTATTAGGTTGGAGTGCTGGACTGAAAAGAACACAAAGAAAATCACTAGGAACAAATGTCAAGTTCCACATCCAGGCAAAAAAAAAAAAAAAAACCAAATGCATTGTTACAACATGGTGTGAGAAGTAGAAGATTACTGTGACTAACAAACTAGAGCAACTAAAGCTATGGATCACTTAGTGATTAATAAAGGTATTCTGATTAATAGACTAGAACAGGTAAAGCTATACAGATCACTTGATGATTAATAAAGTTATTGTGATTAACACAAACTAACAGACTACAAGATGTAATTGGTAGACATGGCATTAAACTTTTGAACTTAGAACCCAAAGTACAGCTGTGTAATTAGCTAATGCATATTAATGCTGCCTCCTACTATGACTCAGAGGGTTATTAACATGAACATGGGACATATGAGCAGGTGGGGTAACATACCAAGGAGTAGTATGATGAAGGCGGACGGGAAGAGTGTGAATTCCCAGTATCCCAGCCAATGGGAGAAAGGAGGCAGGGACTTTGCGCGTGAAGTAGGGAATAAAAGGCTGCTCCTCCAGTGCACTACCTTTGGGGTGAGTGCCCGGTCTGGCCAGAACGTATTAAACTGTTGCTGCTTGGTACTTTGCCTACCGTATCGTCATTGCTTGGATTCCATTCCTTACAATGGGGAATACTTGACTCAACAATACTGCAATAAAGAAGGAACTTGGAATTGTTGTAGAATTGCTGAATTGTAGAATTACTGAATAGGAGTCAACAATGTGATGCCTACTGTGCATCCCATCTTTTATTTACTGGCACATGAACAGAAGGAAAAGAAAGAGGGGAGAGAGGGAGACAGGAAAGAAAGAGAGAGAGAGAATGGAGAGTGATGCAGTGCTGACATTTTGACCTTCAATTGAAAGATAGTTTTTAGGACTAAACAAATTCTATAATTATACATATAATTTGGTAATGTAAGCCTTCATTTAGGGTCTGGTGAAAGAATTACCTTGAGGACTGATCAAGAAAAAAAGATTGGGGGAAGACCACACTTAAACAGTACTTCCCAAGAATTTTTATGGATAATCCATATATTCTTTCTGAATTGAAACTGGAGACATGCTTCCCTGTTACATTTTCAAAGATGTATTCTTATACAGAAATGCCATCCTACTGATCATCTGAATGGGATGGTGTAACTTAGTTTCCTGCAACAGCAGGGGGATTGGACCCAGTGGTCTTCTGGTCCCTTCCAACTCTACTATTCCATGATCCAATAATCTGAATGTGCCTCTGCTTCGAAGTACAGTCTCAGTTACGGGTACATGTTGCACCTGCTGCAAGTCTATACGAGGAGTGTTTTAATAACCAGTTGCATCTATTGCATACATGAAAAGCCATCAGGCCTGTGTTGAGCACTGAGCATGCTTAGACATCTACTGGGGTATATACCCTGGGGCAGGGCCCTTTGGTCCTGATAACTCCCTTTCTAATGGTCACTCTAACTACCTTCCTAATAGTGTGCATGCCACACTCTTCCTGCCAACACTGTAGTCGTGCAGTAAACCTTGCTTGGCCATATTGGCTGCTTGGCCATAGTGACCACACATAAAGGCAATGGCAGCTGGGTTATCAACCCTAATGCAATGCCTAACCATGACTAGCACCACTTGGCTTCCATCTTTGTACAGCACTTTCATGTCTACTGGTGCAGCCCATTTCCAGACGTGATGACTGGTCACTGCACCATCACCACTCAAGTAGCAATGGGTAGTGTCAACAGTTTGATTTATTACTTTCCTATGGGACATAGTAATTGCTCCACAACTTATACATGTTTAACATACAGTCTGAGAATTTTCTTTTTCTTCTAAAAATGATAATAAGGCACAAAATGAAGAGGCAAATTAAATACTTTGAGGTTCCTACTGGTTTTGATGGAGATTATGTACGTGCTTTTGCATTTTTTCTACTGTAATCAACAGGACTTAAAAGTACTTTAAGTCACTTTTGTCATTTTGTTTGTTCTCATGTATACATTAAAAATATTAGCTTGCATTCCCCATCCTGTGCAAGCTGGACTGGGATCATGGTGTGGGTGGGTGGGTGTGTATGCGCATATATGGGTAGGCTATAAGACTGGTTCTGCCCATAAGACTGGTTATAATCATCCCACCATCCTTGCTATTCCTAGTTGAAAGAAATACCTATTGGTGTTACTGACAGTAACAGGCATGGGAAAGGGGCAACGCCAATCAGGGCCAACACAGGAAAAAAAGCTTATTGTCCCACTGTGTTCCACCATGCCACAGTCCTGACCTGGTTTGCCCCTCCTCCCTGCACTGATTATTTATTTTTTAAAAAAATCAATGAAGCGGAGGTGACAAAAGTTTCATCCACTTTGGCCCTTGTTTACCCTCATTCAAATTCTCCATTAAAACATAGTATTTGGAAATGTGCTAAAGTAGGAAGTCAAAACAAAGGATAGCTACTTACATTTTTTACAGCAAGTATTGTCAATGTTTGCAATTTTACCCTAAAAAGAGAGCACATGTCATTTAAGAGGAAAACAACACTCTTTCTCACACACAAACTCTTTTGCTATCTCTGATCTTTGCTTAGAATAGCAGATCTTTGAACTTATGGCAGCTAATGGTGGAACTAAGACCCAAACTGATGTTTGAGATGTATTTGCTATTTGCTAGAATTGGACACTCTGCCTAACTTGGATTGGAGCCATACTGTGTTTCTGGGAGGAAGGGAGGGAGGGAGATGTTACCAGGATTCAGCTTCCATCAAAATCTTCCCCTGCAGAACAGCTATTGACTGCAGAGGGGAAAACATACAGCTTCTCATAGTGTGGTTGGAGTTGGCATTGCACTGAAGGATTTTCTAACCCTAGGTAGCCCTTCCAGGGGAGTTCTTGCTGCCCCTTATATGCTTTTCTAGCTTGAAGATGTGACTTTCTCATTGATACCAAGCTCTGAGAATGGCTCCCAGGAGCTTCCTATCCTTCAGTCCTATAGGGGCATGGAACAACACAGACGCTGCCACTTTAACACTTGAAATACGCACCCAACACGGATGGGGTAACTGAAAGCCCAGACTCTGCCAGAGTGGGCTCCCAACCTTGGTGAGTCTACTTTTTCACGGCCATTTTCCCCAGCTGCTATGGCTCTTCCTCCTTCAGGGGATCATGACTAGCCTTGATGCAAAACCCTTTCTTCCAGTCTAAAGGGCTCATTGACTGCAGCCTTTGCTTGAGAAAATACCTTAGCCAGCATTTTGTGCACTGAGTTACCTAAGTCCTGGAGTAACTACTGCCTTGTTCAACATGATGCAGAGAGTGATCGAATGCCATGTTGCATTCCACTTCCCTTGGGACTAATGCCTCATTAGCACAAGAGGAAACAAGTGAAATCTCTCTTTCCTTTGCAGTGGCCCCAATCCAGGATTAGGTCCCTATGGCAGACCTTTTGGCTAATAAAATGTACAATGTGTCAAAAATGAAAGTATGCATCACCAACATCTTTGGCCCCATGTGTTACAAAGAGCCTAAGCATTACTAAGGAACCCAGAAATAATTATTTATTATTTATATATTAAAGATTTTTATATACCATTCTCCAGCACATTGCTCTCAGAATAGTTTATATAAATGCTTAAACATTAAAACACCATAACAAATGATCATAAAATCTATACAAAACTGCAAACAAATATAATAAAAGTCAATATAAAAACACAGCTCTAGTCAACGGTTACAATAACAGAAAAATAAAAAGGTTTTGACCTAGTGCTAAAATGTGTATAGCATTGGCACCAGGCACACCTCCTTGGGGAGTTGGTTCCATAAATGGGACATCACTACCAAAAAGGCCCTTCTCCTTGTTGCCACCTTCCTTCCTTTAAAGGTGGCTCTCAGAGAAGGACTTCCATCTTAGGGTCTGGTTAGGTATGTGTGGGAAAGGGTGTTCCTTAAGATATCCAGGGTCAAATGTGGAGTGCAATTTGTGCCAAATATGAACAACTTTATCCTGTAAGTGCTGCACAAATTTGTCTGAGGGTTTTGATCTTCTTTAGGGTCAACACATAAAAGGCCATGGTCCACTTGGAACAGCTCTGCTGGGCAGCACTGAGAGGATGCAATGTTGGCAGAATACAAAAGCTCTCTTTGCCACATTTACCACCACGGAGTAGGCTTGATAGTGAGCTCTTGCTCAGATTCAGCCCAGGTTTTCTTTCACCTGTGCTCAAGTTGTCTTCCCAGTTGCTCCTGTGCCCACAATTCTGCTGTGTACCATGGTGCCATGCAGGTGTCTACTACTCAGATTGCCTCTGAATTCTATAGGGCAATCTAGACCACAACAGGGGCACCAACCATTGCAGCTAGAATTCCACCCCACCCCTGACCCTCTGGAATCCAACTGAATCCACACTCCAGGGATGGAATATTTTAATGCATCCCCCACCCTTGCAGAGGGAAAGAACAATCACAAGTCTAGATCTCAGGATACTGTGATTTGACCATGACAAAAAGGTTAATGATGGCTCCCGACACACACTTTCAGTTCACCATATTCCTGTCCAGTCAAGAAGACCAGGTTCTGAGTGTGACCCTTCTCATATGTTGGGCAAGTGACATGCTGGTAGCTAGGAATTCCTGAGCTACCCAAGACAAAGCAGTCTCAGCATGGAATTTGAGTCCCTCATAATCATCATCCTGGAGAGGTCCTCAACACCAGGTCCAAGAGCAGCTCTGTCAGCTCAGGCAGGGAGTCTGTGTGGTGCAGGGACCAAATACCACCTGCAACATACCTGCTAGCAATCGTTGCATTGGTTAATGCTAACTAAAGCGGCCTGTTTTGGATGTTGACGAAATGCTAGTCTCAGCACACTTGACTCTGCCTCTCTCCTTCTGCCTCCAAATTCACTGGGCAAAATGGCCATACATTAAATGTCAAAACTGATCTCTCTGCTTACAGCTTTACAAAGTCAAATGTCAAAGCCTGACTACCTGTTCTCTGTGACCAAATTATGCCAGCCAGGTACCTGCCTCACAAGTCCTTCCAGCTAGCACGTCTCCCAGATGGGTGTTCAGAAATGCCAGCTTCACACTGTTGGCTGCATCTGTCTCCCTGGAAAACATCTCTTCATCAATGCCACATCATTGTTTTCGTTGCATTTTCGGTAGCATGAATCCTTCAGGCATCCAAGGATCTTGCCAGGGCATAAATATTAATGCAAAATAAAACCTGCATCTAAAAAGATGGACCCTTTGCACATTCTGCCTGAAATGCAGAGGTCTGGTGCCTTGGCAGGGTTGGGAACTGCATGAAGTTTCCATGATTTTCGGACAGAAAATGCTGATGTTATAAACAGAAAATGTCTTATATATCTATGGAAAATGTACAGGAGATGTTCCCATTTTCAGTTGCCTCTAAGCCTTCCTCCAGAGTGTCAGAAAATTGGCAGGTACCTGGTATGGCAAATTAATCCCATGTCTGCAAATTTCATTCTGTTGCAACAGAAAACGCCAATGCTGCAAGCAACATTAGATGGTGGTGGAGTGGTGGGTGGGGGTATTCATTTCAATGAATAGAAAATGAATATGCATGTAATTACAGGGAAAGGAAAATGAGAGATATACTTAGCAGAAAAGTAAAATAAAAGAAATTGTGTTAGCAGTCACACAATTGGTAAAGGAAGAAAGCAGAAGTTGATGAAATGGTCTTCTTATATTTACCATACCATTCTCTTCTGCTTCCAGTTTCTCCCTCAGTCTCAGCATTCAAATTGTAAGCTCCTTGGATCATAAATCTCTTTTTAATGATGTCTAGTAAAGCAAAATGTACACTAATGGTGTTGTAGTAATACTAATATTACTGCTGCTGCTAGTTGTGAAGTCCTGTCGGACCCCTCACAACCCCAAGGACAACACTCCTCCAGGCCGTCCTGTCCTCCACCATCCCCCAGAGTCCACTTAAGCTCACACCGACTGCTTCAGTGACTCCACCTATCAACCTCATTCTTTGCTGTCCCCTTCTTTTGCCCTCAATTGTTCCCAGCATTGGGCTCTTCTCCAGTGAGTCCTTCCTTCACATTTGATGGCCAAAGTATGTGAGTTTCATCTTCAGTATCTGGCCGTCTAAAGAGCAGTCAGGGTTGATCTCCTCTAGGAGTGACTGGTTTGATCTCCTTGTGGTGCAGGGGACTCACAGGAATCATCTCCAGCACCACAATTCAAAGGCCTCAATTCTTCAGCGCTTAGCCTTCCTCATGGTCCAACTTTCATGGCCATACATTGCAACTGGGAAAACCATAGCCTTGAATATACGCACTTTTGTTGCCAGGGTGATGTCTCTGCTTTTATGATGCTGTCTAGATTTGCCATAGCTTTCCTGCCCAGGAGCAAGCGTCTTTTAATTTCTTGGCTGCAGTCCCCGTCTGCGGTGATCATGGAGGCCAGGAAAATAAAACCCGTCACTACCTCCATTTCTTCCACTTCTATTTGCCAGGAAGTGATAGGACCGGATGCCATGATCTTAGTTTTCTTAATATTGAGCTTCAAGCTGACTTTTGCACTCTCCTCTTTCACCTGCATCAAGAGGCTCTTTAGTTCCTCTTCACTTTCTGTCATTACAGTGGTATCATCTGCATATCTGAGGTTGTTTATATTTCTTCAAGCAATCTTAATTCCAACTGGTGATTCATCAAGCCCCACCTTTCTCATGATGCGCTCTGCATATAAGTTAAATAGGCAGGGCAACAGTATACAGCCTTGCCATACTCATTTCCCAATTTTGAACCACTCAGTAGTTCCATGTCCAGTTCTCACTGTTGCTCCCGCATACAGGTTTCTCAAGGGACAAATACGATGGTCTGGGACTCTCATCTCTCTAAGAAGTTGCCACAGTTTGTTCTGTTACACACAATCAAAGGTTTTAGCATAGTCAATGAAGCAGAAGTAGATGTTTTTCTGGAACTCCCTTGCTTTCTCCACGATCCAGCGTATGTTGGCAATTTGACCTCTAGTTCCTCTGCCTCTTCGAAATCCTGCCTGTATTTCTGGTAGTTCTTGGTCCACATACTGCTGGAGCCTAGCTTGTAGGATTTTGAGCATAACTTTGCTAGCATGTGAAATAAGTGCAATGGTGTGGTAGTTCGAACATTCTTTGGCATTGCCCTTCTTTGAAATTGGAATGAAAACTGAACTTTTCCAATCCTGTGGCCACCGCTGTGTTTTCCAAATTTGCTGGCATATTGAGTGCAGCATTTTAACTGCATCGTCTTTTAAAATTTTGAATAGCTCAGCTGGAATACTGTTTCCTCCACTAGCTATAGTTGCTCAGACTTCCTAAGGCCCATTTGACTTCACATTCCAGGATGTCTGGCTCGAAGTCATCATGGTTATCACCTCTTTCTTGTATAGTTCTTCTGTGTAATCTTACCACCTCTTCTCTATCTCTTCTGGCTCTGTTAGGTCCCTGCAATTTTGGTCCTTTATCATACCCATCTTTGCATGAAACTTTCCCTTCATATCTCCAATTTCCTTGAAGAGATCTCTGGCCCTCCATATTCTATTGTTTTCTTCTATTTCTTTACATTGTTCATTGAAGAAGGCATTCTTATCTCTTCTAGCTATTTTCTGGAATTCTGCATTCAGTTGGGTGTAGCTTTCTCTTTCTCCCTTGCCTTTCGCTTCCCTTCTTTCCTCAGCTATTTGTAAAGCTTCCTCGGACAGCCATTTTGCTTTCTTGCATTTCTTTTTCTTTGGGATGGTTTTAGTTGCTACCTCTTGGACAATGTTGCGAACCTCCGTCCATAGTTCTTCAGGCACTCTGTCTATCAGATCTAATTCCTTAAATCTATTTGTCACCTCTACTGAATATTCAACAAGAATATGATTTAGGTCATACCTGAGTGGCCTAGAGCTTTCCCCTATTTTCTTCAATTTAAGCCTGAATTTTGCAACAAGAAGCTCATGATCTGCGCCACAGTCGGGTCCTGGTCCTCTTTTTACTGACTGTATAAAGGTTCTCCATCTTTGGCTGCCGGGCACATAGTCAATCTGATTTCTGTGTTGACCATCTGGTGAGGTTTATGTGTAGAGTCGTCTCTTGGGTTGTTGGTAAAGAGTGTTTGCTATGATCATCATATTCTCTTGTCAAAATTCTACCAGCCTGTGCCCTACATCATTTTGTACTCCAAGGCTAAACTTGCCTATAATTCTGCTTATCTTTTGGCTTCCTACTTTAGCATTCCAATCCCCCATGATGTTAAGGACATCATTTTTGGGTGTTAATTCTAGAAGGTGTTGTAGGCCTTCATAGAACTGGTCAACTTCAGCCTCTTCAGCACCAGTGGTTGGGGCATAGACTTGGACTACTGTGATGTTGAATGGTTTGCCTTGGATTCGAACTGAGATCATTCTGTCATTTTGGAGATTGTATTCCAAAATACAAAAACACAAAGTACCATATTTTTTGCTCTATAAGACGCACCTGACCATAAGACGCACCTAGTTTTTAGAGGAGGGATCCATGGAAAGCTTCCTGATAATCACAGGTACATTCCCCATCACTTCCCCATGGGCGTCATTAAAAGACGGGTTGCCATTTGAAAACACACACTGACCTGTGATTAACAGCTCTCCCCTGCGCCAGAGGAGGGGGGTGGAGCAGGGCGCGCCGAGTGTGTGCCGGCCAGGTGTGGTGCAGCCGGGCTGGCAGCATGCCAGCGGTGGTCTTCCAGGCGGCACAGCAGCAGCAGGTCTTCCCGGGTGGCGGGGGTGAGCAGTCCGTCTCTCCATGCAGCTGGCAGGTTAAAGCCCATGGCTCCTCCTCCTCCGCACTGCTCCCCCTGAGCGGCACAGCTCTCACTTGTATTGGAGGGGGGGTGGAGCAGCGGGCGCTGAGTGCGCGCCGGCCAGGTGGTGCCACATGGTGCAGGTGGGCCAGCAGACTTTTTCCCTTACTTTTGAGGGGGGGGGGGAAGTGCGTCTTCTAGAGTGAAAAAAGCAGGTTGCTTACCTCTAACTGATGTTCTTCGAGTGGCCATCTGTGCATTCACACATATGGGTGCTGCACCTGCGCAGCGCCTAGGCTGGAAGATTAGAAAGCTAACCATTTTTGGCGGGAAACTCCGCTCCCCTCCCCCTCAGTGGTATAAATAGAGTGGAGTGTCCACCATTTTACTCAGTCTTGAAGACCGAACGTTCACCCTCTAGAGGTTGAGAATAAAATCAACGACAAGCATCATTATATTCCAACGGTACCGATGAAAATTAGAGTACGGTACCGAGAGAAAAAAAACACCCACTCACCGACACCGAGTGGGGCCGGCGGGTGGGTGGTGTGAATGCACAGATGGCCCCCTGAAGAACATCAGTTACAGGTAAGCAACCTGCTTTTCTTCATCGTGGCCTCTGTGCATCACACATATGGGTGATTCGCAAGCTTACCAAACTCGGAGGAGGGAGGTGTTGTCAGCGAAGAACGGATGAAAGAACAGCTCTGCCGAAAGAGCAGTCTTGCCTGGCACGTACATCAAGCCGATAATTCTTGGCAAAGATACATGGACCAGCCCACATCGCAGCTCTGTAGATATCCTGTAGCGGAACCCCTGCTGCAAACACGGACGAAGTTGCTACTGCTTGTGTGGTGTGACCTCTTGGAAAGACAGGTAAGTCTATTTTTGATAGGTGGTAAGCCAGGACAATAAGTCTGGATGATCCAATTAGAAAGTCTTTGAGATGTGATCGGCGATCCCTTGTCACGCTCGGAGTACTTAACAAAAAGTCTATTAGTACTATGGAAAGATTCAGTGTGGGATCTGTAAAAGGCCAAGCAACGGCGAACATCAAGCATGCATAGAGCACGTTCTATTGGATTCAAAGGTGATGGAAAGAATGCTGGCAAAACAATGTCTTGACTCAGGTAGAACAGCGTAGCCACTTTAGGGAGAAAGGAAAAATCCATCCGAAGAACGACTTTTTCCTTATGGAAATTCAGAAACGGCAGGTCTATGCAAAGAGCACAAATTTCACTAGCTCTCCGTGCTGATGTTACTGCTACAAGAAAGGCCGTTTTCCACGACACGAGACGTAGGTCCACAGTTGCCAAAGGCTCGAACAGTGGTTTGGTAAGTGCTTGGAGCACTACGGAAAGGCTCCACGTTGGTATAGCAGGGCGGATAGACGGATGTAAGTTCTGTAGTCCCCTAATAAAGTGTTGAACCAGCGGTTGAGAGAAAACTGATAAACCATGGACAGCGCCATGATAATGGGATATGGCGGCTGCATAAACTTTGATGGATGATGGTTTAAGTCCCACGTGATGTAGTTGCAAGAGAAATTGCAGAATATTGTCAACTGAAGCCGTCCCAGGAAGAAAAGAATGGCACTCTGCAAAAGAGGAGAATCTTTTCCATTTAGCCGCATAGGAACAATGAGTGGACGGTCTCAATGCAGATTCGAGAATCGCCTGAATTTCTTGTTCAGTAGGCATAGGTACCGCAGCAATTGCTGTCGAATCTGAGGTAGGTGTCATATGTACAGTCTGCTGAATAGGGTCCTCTGTAGAGTGAGCTGTCGTTGGTATCGACTCAGTGAAATGACTCAGTTGATCCGCCATGCTGTCAACTTCAGGGAGGTTATATCCGGATGCCGGATCGCTCCGTCTTGTTGTGTTAACACATGTGGAAGAGTTGGTAGGTGAAGAAACGTTCTTCTGGATAGTAGCAAAAGAGTGGCAAACCATGGTTGTCTCAGCCACCACGGAGTTACTAATATCCCTGTGGCATTGTCTTGGGCTATTTTCGCCACCACTTTTGTTAGAAGTGGGATTGGAGGAAATGCATAAAAAGTCATGTTGTTCCAAGGGATCATAAGAGCATCCCCCATCGATCCCGATCCGATGTCCGCTCTGGAGCAGTACAGGG